ATGCCCAGAACTGAGACCAGAGGCTGCAGGATGTGCACAGTGCAGATTTATGGATGGCACAGCTGAGAGAAGAAAGTGAGGGGTTAATGTGAACAGGTGACAGGAGCAGGAGAATCGGTGCTGACTTACAATTGTGCAGGGATGGTAAAGAGACCTGTAGATAGCTGGAAGTGAAATAAGCCGGACAAAGTGAAAGTGACCATCAGCTAGTGAAGTGGCCGGAACAACGGAGTAAGGGAAGTGATACTTTGTGTGGTAATATGAGGGAGAATGACAGTTTCTCCTGTCAGGCAGGAGAAACGGAAGAGGCTCCAGTGCAGCCCGTCACCACAGATTAAGGGCAGATGCCCCCCCCCCCCTTGTCCTTGTGTACCTGCGTGATTGCGTAGCTGTAGACTAACATGGCTATGGACCTGCATCCATGTGGGGCTATATAATTACATTTTGACAAATATAGTTGCTATAATATTTGCCTGTAATACAATTTTTAAAGGGCCCCAGAAGGGGGAGGCAGGTGCACTGCCCTGAAGTCCAATGGACTCGGGGTAATCTGGCGGTGTTCACATTTCCTGATAGACCAGTGGTGTCAGTTGTATCTGGGCCACTGAGTTTGTCTGGCATTGCAGCTATTCCTGGTAGCGGGGCTGCAATGGACTGCAGCCGCATCATTCTGTATGCGCCTAATCTCATCTGAACTTGATAACTAAGTAGAGTTGGGCCTGGTTAGTACTTGAATGGGAGATTGCCTGGTAATACCAGGTACTGTAAGATTTCCCCTCCAGAGTCTGCTGTGTTTTAGAAGTATATCGGGCCAGAGGATGCTATGGCATTCTCTGAGGTGGTTCTCCCAATCTTTAGCACCAGAAACCTAACCGGTTAAGTACGCCTCTTGGGACCTTCTGGGTTTGCCGCACAGTTGTCAGGCTTTTACCTGCATTTTCACTTGGAGCAGAAGTTATGGGCCCATTATTGTAAGACACTCGACCGGTTCGCGGGTTTGAAACCTAACAGGAAGGTGAGGTCTTTCTTAGATCTCGAGGCACTAAACAAATTTTTAAAATGTCCTGTTTCAGATGGGATCGGTCTGATCAGTTGTGGCCTGTCTGCAAGAGAGAGATTTCTGGTGTTCATAGTCCTCAATGATACATATCTTTGTGTGCCAATTTTTTCAGGCTCATCAAAGGTTTCAGCGATTTGCAGTAAAGACTTATTTTTGTTTTGGGACACTGCCCTTTGGGCTGGCCACAGCCCTCCAAGTGTTCACAAAGCTCCTAGCCCCGGTTCTGGGCTTGCTGAGGATGCAAAGGGGTGTCATTCTCAGGATTCCTCAATGATCTTTTGCTTAGGGAGCAGTCGGTTCCAAGTTTAAAGCGGAATATAAGAAACAAAAGGTATCCTTCGTTACATCTCTGCATGAAGAAATGGTATCTATGTTGAAGCAGTTTCCTGCGTGCGGTTCCACTCCAGGTTTTTTTGTAGCGGAACATTCTGTCTTGATCATGAAGGTGCAAGCATTGGATTGCCAGAGGGCTTTATCCCCAGGGTATTGCAGAGCCTGAATTGGTAGTTGTCGGAATCTGGAGAAGGGGTCACTTTTTTCCTTCCTGTGATATGGAAGATAGAAACCACCTTTGCCATTCTCTCTGGTTGGGGGACTGATTTGGAGGTGGCTACAGTTTAGGGGACTAAACTGCCACAGGAGAGAACTGCCCATCAATATCTTGGAGCTTCGTATAGTACTCCGTGCTCTGGATTATTGGACAAACCAGTTGCATAAGTTTGTGGTCAGGGTTTGGTCTGACAATGCCACAGCAGTGGCATATATCAACCTCAAGGGCAGCACCATGAGTTGTGCAGCTCAGTAAAAGGTGAACCACATTCTGTCTGAGGCAGAACAGTGTGTGTCATCTCTGTTGGCAGTACATATTCAGGGTATAGAAAACTGGCAGGGGTTTTTTTTCCAGAGGTCAGCAGCTAATATCAGGAAACTGTTCCTTGCATCCCAAGACGTTCTTGGCAATCTGCCAGTGGTGGGGAACTCCGGATGTGGATATACTGGATCCAGGTTGTATAAGTTAAATAGGTTGTGTCCAGGACGAGAGTCCATCTGGCAAAAGGGGTGGATGCACTGGTAACACCTTAGGGACCAGTTCTCCCTAATTTGTCTTCCCCCGATTCAACTATTGCCTCGTCTTTTGCGCAGGATCCAGAAGGAGGTAACAATGATAGTAGTGGTAACCTGACCTAGCCCAGGAAGAGCTTGGTACACTGACATAGTGTATCTGGCAGTGGATGCTCCTTGAACACTTCCGGTCTGCCCAGACCTACTGTCTTGGGTCCAATAATGTATCCTGCTTTATTATTGCTAGGATTGAATGCTTGGCTATTGAAGCCCAGGTCTGGAAGGATCAGGGGGTCTTTGGTCCTATTGTTTCTGCATTGTTTAGTGCCAGGAAGTTGGCTTCGGAGAGCTTCCATTACAGGACCTGTAAATCTTATCTGCTTGGTGTGAAGCCAGGAAGTTGTACCCGCAGAAATATGTGATTTAGGAGATTTGTTTGTCCTTTTTCCAAGTGGGAGGGGAAATTATTTTGGCCTTAAGTACTATTAAGGGTCATATATAGGCTCTATCCATTTTTTTTTTCCCAGAGACTGCCGTTTCTCACTCCTTGATTCGTACTTTGTGCAGGGTGTTATGAGGATGGTCCCGTCTGTCAGACCACCCTTGTGTCTTTGGGGTTTGAACCTGGTCTTGGATGTCCTTGCAAAAGCCACCTTTTGAACCAATTTCAGAAACTCTGTTAGTCCTTTGACACGGAAGGTGGCTTCTTTGGTTACTGTCACTTCAACAAGATAAGTGTCAGAGCTGGCGGCTCTTTCATGTAAGGAGCCCTTCTTGGTGTTGCATCATGATAAGGTGATGTTGCGGTCTTATCCATCTTTCTTACCTAGAGTGGTTTCTAGTTTTCACTTGAATCAGAACAGTGTCTTGCCTTTTTTTTCCTAGTCCACAGTTGGCAGGGGAAGGTTCACTGCATACTCTGAATGTTCTTCAGGTGGTCAGGATTTACTTGAGTTTGGTGGCACAGGTCAGGAATCCTGGTTTGTACTGCCAGAAGGGCCCAGGAAAGGCAGGCGACATCCAGGTCAGCTATTTCTCATTGGATTCGCCAGTTAATCATTCAAGGCTTTGGTTTGAAGGTTAAGGTCCCACCCTTCCAGATGAGAGCGCACTCTACCAGGAGTGCGGGGGCATTTTGAGATATCCACCATCAGGTGTCAATTGCTCAGGTTGCAAGGCTGCGACACATGGTCTTCGATTAATACATTCACAAGGTTTTACCAAGTGGATGTCAGAGCCGTGGAGGATTCTGCTTTTGGCCGCTGCTTGTCACGTACAACTGAGTAGGTCCTTTGGGATTGATGGCGTTGGTTATTATGGTGTCACCCACCCCTCAGATTTGTTTATTGCTTTAGGACATCCCACATAGTCATAAATAGCCTGATCTGTGTCTCATGATGTACGATAAAGAAAATTGGATTTTTTCTGCATACTTACCTGTAAAATCCATTTCTTGGAGTACATCACAAGACACAGAGTCCCCTCCCCCTCTTTCTGGAATTTCATTGCTTGCTACAAAAACTGAAGTACTTCCTGTGTTGGAAGGGTTATATAGAGAAGAACTTCCTGTTTGATAGGTCTACCAGTGTCCATTCACCTATAGGCATACCTCCCAACTTTTTGAGATGGGAATGAGGGAAACCTATTAGCAAAAGTATGTAGGCATAAGACACACCCCTGTCACACCCCCCTTAAAGGAGAATTATCTCCCCCCCCCCCCCCCCCCCCCCCCCCAAATTACTTAAACCCACAAGTGCTTTGTTTTTTACTAATATTCCTTTATACTGGCTTTTGAAATTTATACATTCTACAATTTAGAAACTGGAAGAAAGGTTTAGCAATGGGAAACACTTTTGGAAAGATAAATAGAGCAGTTTAAATACAACTATATAGATCAGACCAAAATGACAAATGAGGAGGAAAGAGGGACTTTGTTCCAAATCAGGAACAGTTGGGAGCTATGCCTGTAGGTGGAATATAACCCACATAGTCAGGAATAGCGTGCTCTGTGTCCCATGGTGTACTCTTTATGTAGAAGTAATGGATTTTACAGATAAGTATGCAGAAAAAAATCCTATGGTTTTTTTTTTTTGTTTCATTTTGACTGGCATGCTCATGTGTGTCAGGAAGATTTAGGTTTAGCCACAGGTAAAAAATTATTCCTACACATTTTTGGTAATAGTTACATGCTATGGCAAATATGTTTTTCAAGAAAATGCTGCCTACAGGACTTGTATACAGGGCCTAAAAATCTGTCAGCCTGTACAGATTTACCTGGTAATAGAAATAAATGTCTCCTGATGCCTTAAATGAAGAAGCATACAAACAGATACTGCTGACCTTTTGAAAAAAGCTTGGTGCTTGGCCATCATACTGACCCTCTTGTTTCAGTATGTTGAACCCTGTAGAGGCATGTTGAGAATTTCTGATTTTCCTGACTTTGTACACTTGTTCTTGGACTGTAAACAAGAATGCAATGAATCCAGAGGGTCACCATAATAGCCAGACAACTATAAATTTTTATAAGGTCAATAGTTTAAAATTATATTTTATTATAAAAATAATTGTTCCAGGCAAAGCAGAGAAAAGATCAGTTTGGCTGACTTTGTTTGTCGATTTTCTTTTTCCTTTTCAATGAAAACAATCATGGATTGAATCGCTTGTTTAGTGCACACAATTTTGGTACATCATGCTTTGATTGAAACAGTTCTTATATCAAATAATCATATTGTCATATATATATATATATACATGATCATATATGTCCCGCAACCGGTTGGACTGACTGGCTGCTGAAATAGTGAGAGTATATGCAAAAGTAGTGATATATTGGTAGATTGTTAATTCCTTCTTCCATTGGTTTATTTATTTTTGACAGATGAATCTGTGCTGTGACATGGGCTGGCCTTACCGCCTTACACACATCTTTGTTGGAGCACTATGTCTGGGTGCAACACTGGCTACTCTTGTCCTTTCAGAAAGCAAACTGATTCATTTCATACGTAGCCATTTTCTATCAAAAAAGCCAAAGAAGAAAGTTTAGCCAAGGTTTTGGACTGGATGGTTGGTTATCTGGAAAATGAGTGTAAACCTCAAGACATTACGCCATTCCCTCTTATTTGTGGATAGCACAATCTATGGACTGTAACTATAATGGTGACACCAAGAAGGTGAAGGATAGAGACGGAAGGATAAATAACGTATATTGGACCAATACAGAGGAAAGAGAACATGGTTCACAAATGATTCCAAAGACCACAAACCTTGAAGTATTTTTTTTCTTTTTTACCTGGGCATATTTTAATCATGGGGTTGGCAGTTTATATTAAATGGTAGCAGTGTATGGTATATGGTAGCAGTGTAGAGGAAACGGATTCTGTTTAATAATCCCCCTTCAAACCACTTTCCCTGTTTGTGCAGTTTTGCCATACCTACCAATTGCTGCGGTGTGCTTCAAGCAGAACTTGCTTCTGCTTTCTTTCTCAGGCTGCCCGAGGTCTTTTATTATTATAGTCATGCTTAGATTTTGTCTCACTGTTTTGACTTGTAACTGTAAAACCAAGTAGATTACACTTATGGATATTGTTAATGTTTACATATTATTAATACTGGTAAAATATTGATTGAAATGAGCCTGGACACAGGAAGGGGATGGAGGCCCTAAACATGATGAACACAGGCCACTGCATTCAGAAAATCTCCCTGCATCTTCACCCAGTCTTCTAGGTTTGGTGCCTTCAGCCTTGATTGGCCAACACATTGGAATGACAATGATTTATCCCAGCACCAAGGCATGCTGAAAATGTATACTGCCACCCATGAAAGAACAGAAATCTTGGGAACTAGTATTTTCAGTGACAGAGATTAGAAGAAAAACGGCCTCTAATATTTTCAAGCATTTCTGGTACATCGTAATGACCATTTATGCATTAGACTGCCTTTGCAGTACCTCATTTTTTCCTGGTTGCATTTCTATCTGAAAATTGCTAGAGCAGCACAGTGGCTAAATAGTTAGCACTTCTGCTTGGCAGTACTAGGGTCGTTGGTTTGAATCGCAGCCACGGCAATACCTGCCTGGAGTTTGCATGTTCTCCCTGTGCCTGTGTGGGTTTCCTACGGGTACTCCAGTTTCCTCTCACGCTCCAAAGACATGCTGGCAGGTTAATTGGATCCTGTCTAAATTGCCCCTAGTATGTGTATGTATGAATGCGAGTTAGGGACCTTAGATTGTAAGCCCCTTGAGGGATAGTTACTGATGTGAATGTACAATATATATGTAAAGCTCTGCGTATTGACTGCGCTATACAAGTACCTGAAATAAATAAATAACAGTCCTTTAGATAAGGTTAGGGCTTTAGAAACAAGTAAACATGAGCCCTCAGATGAAAAGATAATCTGCAGCATTGGTTATAGAAAATGCTCAGGCATGCTGGAAAAATCTGCGACTGGTGTATTTTAACATGCATCTCTTTAAGTGATAATACACAAAGTGTTAATTGCTCTAATTCAGTGGTTCTTAACCTTGTTGGAGGTACTGAACCCCACCAGTTTCATATGCGCATTCACCGAACCCTTCTTAATTGGAAAAATAAAATATGATTTTTAAAATTCAAAACATAGGTATATATTTATACATAGGTGCACAAAATGAACAAAACCGTTAAGAACAAAGAACAAAACCATTAAAACATGATTTTCACACAAAAACAAAAACATAATAATGAATATTTACTGCACGAATCATATGAGTCGGGTGTGGGTCTTCACCTCCGCCGAACCCGCGAGACTGACTCACCGAACCCCTGGGGTTCGATCGAACCCAGGTTAAGAACCACTGCTCTAATTCATTCACATAAATCATATATATCAGTCCACTGTATTTTGTTAAAAAAAAAAAAAAAAAAATCCTTATTCCACAGCACTGTTGTGTGGTCACTTTCCCTGTTTTTGGCTTCTATTACTACAGTATGGGTCTGCCTGCACAGCTTTGATTGGTGATGTGCCTGTCACATGACGTAAAAAAAAAAAACATTTCAGAGAGCAATTAAATTAAATTACAAATATTAAAAAACTGTTTCACAGCTTTCTATAAATCTTTATTGAACATCAAATATGTGTTTTCTTGTGCATTAACATGGCGTAGGCAGAGTCAAAGATGATTGACATTTGCTTCATTTTGTCCAAGGCTTTTTTTTACCTTACATGTATTAGCAATTGCATTGATATATTTAATAAGCATATACTAAAACTAGTTTTTGGGGGGAGTTTCTTACTGAATGTAATAAATCCGCATACTACATCCCACCCCCATAGTGTTTATCAGTCGGAAGACATGGAGGAGTAGGGAGAGAGGGGAGTGTCATTTACCACTGTGTATACACCCACATGTGTGACGCTATACTCATGTGGGCTGCACAGATAAGATGCCGGAGGAAATGAAGACCTTAGAGGGGAATTGAAATTGAGCATGCTCACTAGAGGACACCAGTTGGTGTACATATTCCCAGCTTTCAATGGGGACACAGAGAGGATGGGAGGGACAGATAAAGGCAGGATCAACCAGGTAGGTTTATTTCACTCTACACAAATAGAATGCTTTAGTGGCTTTGTGAGTATGAACACTCTGTTAAATAGCATGTAATGAAAGTTTTTCATAGTTTGGGTTTACTGACACTTTTTAAGATGGACATGCAGGTGAAACTCGAAAAATTAGAATATCGTCCAAAAGTTCATTTATTTCAGTAATGCAACTTAAAAGGTGAAACTAATATATGAGATAGACTCATTACATGCAAAGCAAGATAGTTCAAGCTGTGATTTGTCATAATTGTGATGATTATGGCTTACAGCTCATGAAAACACCAAATCCACAATCTCAAAATTAGAATATTGTGAAAAGGTGCAATATTCTAGGCTCAAAGTGTCCCACTCTAATCAGCTAATTAAGCCATAACACCTACAAAGGGTTCCTGAGCCTTTAAATGGTCTCTCAGTCTGGTTCAGTAGGAATCACAATCATGGGAAAGACTGCTGACCTGACAGTTGTGCATAAAACCATCATTGACACCCTCCATAAGGAGGGAAAGCCTCAAAAGGTAATTGCAAAAGAAGTTGGATGTTCCCAAAGTGCTGTATCAAAGCACATTAATAGAAAGTTATGTGGAAGGGAAAAGTGTGGAAGAAAAAGGCGCACAAGCAGCAGGGATGACCGCAGCCTGGAGAGGATTCTCAGGAAAAGGTCATTCAAGTGTTGGGAACTTTCACAAGGAGTGGACTGAGGCTGGAGTCAATGCATCAAGAGGCACCACACACAGACGGATCCTGGACATGGGCTTCAAAATGTCGTATTCCTCTTGTCAAGCCGCTCCTGAACAACAAACAAAGTCAGAAACGTCTGGGCCTGGGCTAAAGAAAAACAGACCTGGTCTGTTGCTCAGTGGTCCAAAGTCCTCTTTTCTGATGAGAGCAACTTTTGCATCTTATTTGGAAACCAAGGACCCAGAGTATGGAGGAAGAATGGAGAGGCACACACTGAAAGATGCTTGAAGTCCAGTGTGAAGTTTCCACAGTCTGTGTTGATTTGGGGAGCCATGTCATCTGCTGGTGTTAGTCCACTGTGGTTCGTTAAGTCCAGGGTCAATGCAGCCATCTACCAGGAGATTTTGGAGCACTTCATGCTTCCTTTCGCAGATGAGCTTTATGGGGATGCTGACTTCATTTTCCAGCAGGACATAGCACCTGCTCACATTGCCAAAAGCACCAAAACCTGGTTCAATGACCGTGGGATTACTGTGCTTGATTGGCCAGCAAACTCGCCTGACCTGAACCCCATAGAGAATCTATGGGGCATTGCCATGAGAAAGATGAGAGACATGAGACCGAACAATGCAGAAGAGCTGAAGGCCGCTATTGAAACATCCTGGTCTTCCATAACACCTCAGCAGTGCCACAGGCTGATAGCTTTCATGCCACGCTGCATTAAGGCAGTAATTGCTGCAAAAGGGCCCAAACCAAGTATTGAGTACATATCCATGCTTATACTTTTCAGAGGTCCGATATTGTTCTATGTACAATCTTTGTTTTATTGATTGCATGTAATATTCTAATTTTCTGAGATTGTGGATTTGGGGTTTTCATGAGCTGTAAGCCATAATCATCACAATTATGACAAACACGGCTTGAACTATCTTGCTTTGCATGTAATGAGTCTATCTCATATTAGTTTCACCTTTTAAATTGCATTACTGAAATAAATTAACTTTTGCACGATATTCTAATTTTTCAAGTTTCACCTGTATAAGGATCCTAATCCGACTGTTTCAGTTGTCAATTAAACCTTAGAAATTATAATCCAGAAGTTCTCCCACTTTCCTTTTCTTTGCCCCAGCCTTAAGGCTCCATGGACACCTATGCAGGGACAAAGGTGCATGAGCGTCTTTGCATGGTAGCAAGCAATCAAATAAAAAGAGCACGTGCTAGAGTCTTGGAGCTGTTTGCAACAAAGGTAAGTGACAATACCCAAAGAACAAATAAATCAAGATGGTGCAGCGTTATATATATGTGACAACCCAAATTTAGTTATTTATTACAGGTACTTCTATAGCGCTGTCTATTTACGTAGCGCTTTACATATATATTGTACATTCACATCACTCCCTAACCCTTAAGGGGTGTACAATCTAAGGTCCCTAACTTAAATTTTATAAATACACGAGCTAGGGCCAATTTAAACAGGATCCAATTAACCTAACAGCATGTCTTTGGAGTGTGGGAGGAAACCGGAGTACCTGGAGGAAACCCACGCAGGCACAAGGAGAACTTGCAAACTTCAGGCAGGTGGTGCCGTGGTTGGGATTTGAACTGACAACCTTTGTGCTGCCAGGCTGAAGTGCTAACCATTTAGCCACTGTGCTGCCCAATAAATAAATATGTAAAGATATCATAAATCAATATATATAAAAACAGTGCTTTTTAAAGTGCACGTGCAATGATATAGTAAATAAAAGTCCTTCATGTTACAGTCCAAAAAGGAGTATTAGCACA